TCAGCACAGTGTCAGAACCAGCTGATATAACCTCATCAACGATTGACTCAGTAACAGAAACAGTGAACCCAACCTCATTACCAGTCAGCACAGTTTCAGAACCAGCTGATATAACCTCATCAACAATTGACACTGTGACAGAAACAGTGAACCCAACCTCATTACCAGTCAGCACAGTGTCAGAAACATATGATATAACCTCATCAACGATTGACAAAGCAACAATAACTGTGAGCCCAACCTCATTACCATCTCTGGTCTCCACAGTTTCAGAACCAGCTGCTATAACATCATCAACAGTTGACACAGTAACTGAAACAGTGAACCCAACCTCATTACCAGTCAACACAGTGTCAGAACCAACTGATATAACATCATCAACAACTGACACAGCAACGGAAATGGTCATCCCAACCTCATTACCATCTCTGATCTCCACAGTTTCAGAACCAGCTGATTTAACCTCATCAACGATTGACACAGTAACTGAAACAATGAGCCCAACTTCATTACCAGTCAACACAGTGTCAGACCCAGCTGAAACATCTTCATCAATGACTGACACAAAAACAGAAACAGTCAACCCAACCTCATTACCAGTCATCACAGTATCAGAACCAGTTGATAAAACCTCATCAGCTATTGACACAACAACCGAAAAAGTCAACCCAACCTCATTACCATCCCTCGTCTCCACAGTTTCAGAACCAGCTGATCTAACAACATCAATGATTGACACAACAACGGAAACAGTCAATGTAACTTCACTACCAGTTGGAACAGTGTCAGTACCAGCTGACACAACTTCATCACTGATTGACCCAGCAACAGAACAAGTCAATGCAACCTCATTACCAGTCAGAACAGTATCAGAACCATCTGATGCAACCTCATCAACGATTGACCCAGCAACGGAACAAGTCAACGTAACTTCATTACCATCACTGATCTCCACAGTTTCTGAACCAGCTGATATAACGTCATCATTCATCAGCACATCAACAGCATCAGTTGAAACTTTTTCAACCTTGGTCAATACAATGTTGTCAACACAAAACATTTCTGTTACAATGGTTAGTGAAGTCACTTCACAAATGAATGTAACAGCATCAGTTTTATCTGCAACATCAAAAGCAGCTGAAATTTCAACAGGTAACACAATCTTATAATATTTACTACCTAAATTCACAATTAGTCTTTAAGCTGTAATATAAAAAAAACCTCTAACAATACTAACATGCAACTTTACAATCCTTCTTACACCTTAAAAACAGGTCAATGCAAATTTGACTGACACTAAAAGTCGTCACTGATCAATGCAAACTTGCAATGATGTTGCTATGTTCTCACTTACATACGATTACAAAAGACTACCTAATAAAACTTTGACTTTTTAAGAAGATTAACCTCCATCTACGATAACCTATATTACTCATTAACCTATTTTTTTAACCACAAAATAATCATGTGATAAAAATTTCAAGTAAACCTAAGTTTTCAATCATTGTATCACAAATTACTATGATTTACACAGTTAAACGTGACAATTTCACCCACAAATTAGTACTAAAACTAAAACTTCATCGTTTGATTGAATAACACAATTTTGCACAATGATTTCTTTATATTCTCGAACAGAGTATAAAAACATCATTTACAATGATTTTGTATACTTTTGCCATCACCATCACATTTACTGATAATACACTGGACAAAGATGCAAATTCAACACTACAGTTTTTGCTTCCATTTTTCATTAGCTAAACTTAAAGATCCAAGACCTTTTCTATAGACACAAAAGGTATTTTTCTCTTAAATGTTGCTCACAAATTTGTGTCAATTTGTGTTAGTGAGCACTTCTCCTTTGCTGAGATAATCCTTCCACGTCACAGGCGTGACATATCAAGATGCTGACTAGACAGCATCATTCTCTCACAGGTGTGCCTTAGGCTGATCACAATAAAAAGCCATATTCATGTTGTCTAATTAGCATCTTGATATGCCACACCGTGAGGTGCATGAGTTATCTCACAGAGGAGATGTGCTCACTAACATAAATTGACACAAATTTGTGAACAATATTTAAGAGAAAAAGGCCAGTTGTGTTAATAGAAAAAGTGTTAGATCTTTGAGTTCAGCTCATGAAAAATGGGAGCAAAAACAAAAGTGGTGTGTTTATATTTTTCTTCAGTGTATAAGTACTCGTTTGAGGCAATCCTGGCCAAAGTGGTTCAAAATATCCTGATGCATGTTTTTTTTTTTGAATGTCCAGAGGACCAGATTGAACTTTTTTAGATACTATAAGTACTCAATTTTACTATTATTTCCAATAATTGGACAAATTGACATGACCATGAAAAAGATTTTAGAAGATGTGATTGATGGTGAAATGATTATTATTTACGATGAATCACTTTTTATTAACCATTTACGTGAACGTGAAAATCCAGACACAGATAAAATAAAATATTTTGCTAAGAGCCTGCTTGAAAGCAAACAAACTGAATACTTCTTGTGTAACTTCAATATTGCAGATGTCACAACACCACCAACAGTCAACCAAACGTCGTCAGTGACTGAAGCAACTTCACCATTTCGTAATGACACCTTTGCAACAGATGTTGCAACACATTCACCTGCAGGTAATGTAGATTCTTCTACAGTCTATATATTATAGTAGGTTATTTAGTTCAAATCAAACTAATCATTTTTTAGTGCAGCCTTTCCAACAGGTAACACAACCTTAACACCAAATATCACCATAAGTTTATCTTTTAGTATATCATGTATACCACAGTGAAAATATAGCAGCTGCTTTAATTCCAGCCTCAACACCACTGAACTTACTCTCAACAGGAAGTGTGACTTCTTCACCAGTTGAAATGAGAACCTCTCAGTTGACCAACTTTACCTCACCTACTGTTGATCTGACTGTATCAACCCCAGCCACAAGACTGCCAGGTAACCGAACATAAAATACAGTTAAACATCTATAGATTTGTTGATGTCTGAATGAATATCAAAAGCTGTGAATGTAGAGCGCAAATAAATCACACAAAAATGTGCTACATTTGTTAGTGAATGGGTTAGAATGTTTTTTTTTTTGTTTTTTTTTCAGACATTGCAACCTCAGGGCCATCCAATATGACTTTGCAACCAACCTCACAGATAGTTGATTTAACCTCACCACATCTTACCATGACAACTGTGCCATTTAACCAGAGTTCACCAACTGTCAGCATGAGTACACCATTTCCAGACAACACAAGGCCAGGTAATCAAACCTTTGTCAACGTCAAAAAAATCTCTATATTTTCTCTTACTACATTTACCATCAAACCATCAGATGAGCCCCTTCACTGTCCATTTCTAAAACTCTTTTAAAAATGCATTTTTACTCCCTGGCTTTTAGCACAGACTGCATTTGCTCTCCACTGTTTTTATTGATCTTAAGGTTTTAACAACTGTTTTACTTTTTTACGTGTTTAAACGTTCTTGATTTTATGTGTACAGCACTTTGTTATAGCTGTGGTTGTTTTAAAGGGCTTTAGAAATAAAGTATTATTAAAGTATTTGTTCTATTTACACATTTTATGAACCTAGACAAAACCATTTTAAAACCTATCAAATCGTTTTCCTCATTAGTCAATATACCCTCACCACCAATTAATCCAACAACATCTCCTCTCAATTCAACCATCCCACCAAAACAATCTGACCTCACCACTACTCTACACATCACAATCTGACAATGTGACATCACCACACTTCAGCATAGCCTCACCTCAAGGTGATGGACCTACTCCATCACCCAGGATAACTTCACCAGTTCTAATTCAGAAATTCCACTAGCAGGTATGAATGAATGAATGACAGTGTAATTGATTGAGTTTCTAAAGTGCTTGTCGAAACCTAAAGCAAGTAATGCACTTTTTAACTACGAAAAAAAGCATACATTTAAGTTTCCCATCTTGCTTTATAACTGCTAAGAACAAAACAACAAAATCAAAGACACATACAATGGTCCTTTGATTTATCATGAGGTGAGTTGAGTTGGCATGTTCTGCTCTGGCATAGGTGAGTTTTCCTTAAGAGCATTGAATTCCCCTCAACCCTAACAAAAACAAAAGAAAAACATGCCTTTTAGCTTAAATGGCACTTCTAACTTAAGCTTAGAAAATGTGAGTTAGCATGGTTATGTATCCATGTGGTTCTGTGATGGACTAGCGACAAGTCCAGGGCGCTTCCTGCTTCCTGTCCATTGACTACTAGAATAAAGCACCAAAACCCAGTGACCCTGAGCAAAATAAAACAATGAATGACAGTGAGTCAGTGTCTATACCGCCTCAATAGCATTTAGAAAAGGTTTTACATTTATTTTAACATTGTACTTGTATATTTTACTAGTTGGATACAGTATTTAACCTCAGCAAAAAGAAGTTTACATTTCAAAAGGAAGGCTCAGTATATTTAGTATAAAAAAAATTCCAGTTGGTTAAAAAGACTGATAAAGCAAAAACCAATAAATTAGTGAATAAGTATATTATCCTTACATTCAGTTAACAAATGCTGTTTGAATGCTGTCTTTCACATAATACAGCCACATCAGCAATTAGTGGGACATTGCAAACACCGATGGACAACTTGACCTCTCCACATGTTTCCATGACTTCTCTGCCGGTTAACTCCGTTCCACCATCTGTCAATGGCAGCACACCAACACCACCTGCAATAACTACAGGTGCTAACATTTCTGCCATAGTAAAACTTTTTCAACATTTTTTTTTTCTGTGTATTGTCACAAAAATGTTGCAATAGGTTTGATCTTTTGTCATTTTAACTCAGTCTTATGCACTCACAAGTGTATAAAACAGTTATTTAGATGATGTTTCCAACAATGCATTAACTTTAATACCACTCAAAATTTTGAGTGGTATTAAAGTTAATGCATTGTTGGAAGGTGCATGTTTTACAGTCAAAATACCTTCAGGGTTTATGAATGAATTCTTATCATTCCAGCAATTGGTGGGACATTGCAAACACAGATCAACAACT